GGTAGATAAGGATTATCGATGAGAAGAATCCTATTTTTTAATTACTACCTCCGTCCTTGAGTATTTGTCTAGTTTTGACTTTTCCGACTAATTGTTTTCAATATTTGACTTAGAATTAAATAAAATATATATTATATATTAAGTATATAAAAAATATTTTGAAAATGGATGATATAATAAATCTAATAAAACTAATTTTGTATCAATATCTAATATCGTTTTTATTTAATTTGAGGTCAAAATTTACCAATTCTGACAAAAAAAAGTCAAAAGTTGACAAATATTCAGGGACAGAGGAAGTATATAATTATAAGGTCGGTAATTTACGTTTTTTAAATTAATGTGAGGAAAAAATCATTGGATCACTAATACTTTTGTATTAATATACTTTCGAATTTATACTGCGATAAAAATTATAAATTTGTAAAAATACACTAAACATAGATCATTTATATTTGACCTTTAAATAATATGTCAAATTTAAATCAAGATACACATTATAGAATCGAAAAAAATTCCGTCCGAACCCGTGCATGGCACAGGTAGAAATACTAGTTTTCTAAGTAAAATTTATTTAGCTTCTTTTCCTATTTTCGTCCATTAGAATTAGAAATTATAAATTTTCTTTAAGGGATTTTGTTGAACACCTTGAGTGCAAACATTTGTGATAGGATCTATGATTGATTCAGAACCATTCAAAGCATCAAGGATAGTTGGAATGATATAATGAGCCTGCTCCTGCAGCCATATGGTATTTGCATAAGATTTAAAAAGAAAAACCAAAATGAAGATATCATTCTACTTCTGGGTATTCTTCATCATCCTTCAACATTATTGTAACATTAATTGCTCATTTGCATTCTCTTCTTCCATATATGAAGCTGCTCTTCTATCATTGTATGCTCATATGATCTATGTCCCTTCTTCACTGGGAACACATAAATATAAGTAGAAGTAAGATTTATGGATTTACCAAAGACATCCATCGCAAACAAAATACAAATTGGAATTGGACGGATATGGTAAAATGTTTACGGTATGAAGTTGGAGAACCTTGGTGGAGAAGATTCAGCTAATGCTTCACTGTGAACTTCGTTAGTGTGCATTTTGGCCTAAAGTGATTGCCAATTGATGGACTGGTCGGATCCAAGAGAAGCTATTTCCATTTCTGTGCCAAACCCAATTGTCAGTATTGCCCATAAATTACTGCTTGGTCATTAATGAGTCCTTTTTTGTAAATGACAAAACCATTAAACTGTGCCAAAGCAATGTGGTCTCAAAAAAAACCCCTTACTAAGATAAGTTTATAGTTTCTCAGACTTGTTATCTATAATAAAGAATTCAAGCCATTCGTTATTTGAGAAGCCTAGCTGTTAAGAAAATTAATTCAAAAAAAAAGAATTGGAGAGGAAAAGTTACGCCTATTCTATTATCTTTTCTGATCCTTCCTGAAGAGGGATGCCTTCTCTACCAACCATATTTGAGGCTTTATGAACCACCAACATAGGAGGAAACTGTAGCTTCACGGTCCATCAACTTCATTTCTCTCTTTTGCTCATCCATTGACTGAGAAAAATAACAACACCAAAAGAATAACTACATGAAAATGAAGGTTTGAAGACACATTATTCATCAATAACATGATTAAAACTAAGATTCATCAATAACATAATTCAAACCTTCACTGCAGATATGCCAATGCAGCCTTCCCAAACAGAACCTAGACTACAAACAATATCAGGCACATTCATAGTATACTCGCGGTAACCTATCAAAAAAAGAACAAATATATTAAGAGTGTAACACTAATTTAAATTACCCCACTCTATTGGCTCTTGATCTTAGGTAAGCTTATGAAATACACTCAAAATTGCAGATTGATGCACTCAAATAAAGATAATTATTAGAGAATAATTGAAATATCAAGTGCAAAAATATATCAAATTACATATATACCACAAAGTATGAGAGAATTTTTTTAAAATTGAATAAAACTCAAATAGAAAGCATTACCTTGCTACCACGTTGAAAGAAGAAGAAGACCAGTAGATCTACTCGTTGACGCGGGTGATGTTGCTTCCCAAGAATTAACCTTACAGTTTCTACATTCTTAGCAACTCTAAAAGAAGAACGATCCGTTTACACACAATCACCGAAGAGGAAGATCTTTGCCCCCACTGCGTTTCCAGGACGGGGTTGTGGACAGTTCACATGAGTGGAAATATTCACAAAGTACATAGACAATGAGGCAATCACAAATGCTATTCCCAATATGCATCAAAGAACCTGTTATACCCGGGCATGCCCTACCCAAACTTTTGAACGTGCCACAAGTGTTCAAACAAATCAGTGGATTCGTGATTAAGTGTGATAATCCTTATTGGGTTGATTTCAATCATTTCCCCCATTTAGGAACGTGACCCAACACCCTTGTCGTTTTCGAACCCCCTTGGCCACCCCAACCATGTCCAAACCCACCCTAAACATCCAAAACACCTTGCTCTTTATTTCCATTCAAAAATAAAGTCTTCCTACACTTTTTTCCACCCCATGGCCGAAAATATGTAGAGGACAAACCATAAACCTTTTGTTTATTGTTAATTCCTTCTTTTAAGCCTTTGAATAAAATATGCACCTTGTTCTTGATCCTTTCCTACCTTGGACGAAAATACCTAGCTAAAACCCCTCCCCAACTCATGCCATAACCCCATCCTTGCTTCCCATTATGTCCAGCAACTTGAATACACAAACAGCCACTATGATCCAAAACATAATGGCCCAGCATCCCACCAATTAGACCTCACTTTATTCCCCATAAGATGCCTACAAGAAGCCCCCCAAAAAACCCA